TTTTTTTTTTTTTTTTTTTTTTTTTTTTTTTTTTTTTTTTTTTTTTTTTTTTTTTTTTTTTTGACAACTCAAATCTCCTAATTCAGGTTCGTACTTTCCTCCTCACCTGCCGAATGGAGCGCAAAAGCCTGGAGTGCATGCATCTGGTTATCCCATGCCACGAGTTCCTCTTCCCTCGTTTCATGGTGGTCCCCCGCATCCATATGGAATTCCAACTCGTGGAGCTGTACATGGACCAGTTGGTGCTGTTCCTCATGTTCCTCAACCAGGAAGTAGAGGCTTTGGGGCAGGGCGGGGAAATGTTGGTGCTCCTATTGGTAGTCAGCTTCCAAATCAGCAAGGCTCTCAACAAAATATTGGAAATCTTGGCTCCACTTTTAACTTTCCTGGTTTGGAGAGTCCCAATAGCCAACCATCAGTGGGTGGTCCGTTGTCTCAACTTGGGTTTGTTAACAATGTGTGTATTCTGTCTCCCTTCTCAGTATCCGTCTTGAGGGTTACCTTATGTACTGAAAGTATTTTTGTTTGTTCAACCAATAGATGCCTGTTCAGCCGCCTACTCAAACATTTCGTGATGGATACTCCATGGGAGGAATTTCGCAGGTACTTAATTGGTGTATAATATGCTTAGTTTTGCTATATTTGTCCTTAATCCACTTTTCTAAAGTAATTTTGATGATTTATCAGGACTTCTTGGGCGATGACTTTAAAAGCCAGGGATCACATGTTCCATACAATGTTACGGATTTCTCCACTCAGGTACTTTTCTGCAAGAATGTAATTCGTGATTGCTAGCACTAGTGCCCAAGTTTAATTTTAAGGATATAAGTCAGATGCTTAAGTAGAAGATATAGAGCAATCGATACTAGAAATTATTTGCACTATTTTTCTGAACAAGTTTGAACATTCTTATGTTTCAAGGCACGTTTAGGCATATCTTATTTTTTTGTGTCGTACTCTAGTACATTGGAACCTTTTGTTTCTGTTTTCACCAGATGGTGGACGCATCCAATTAACTTTTAATTCTCTCTTTTGGTTTATTTGTAGGCCTCTCAAACTGGATATCCCATTGATTATGTTAGTCAAGGAGCACAGGGTGGCTTTCCAGGGAGCTTCCTGAACCAGAATTCTCAATCTGGATATAACCGTTTCGGAACAGGAAATGATTTCATGTCGCAGGTTTTCTACTATTTTGCTTTCCTTGACTTGATTTCTGAAGTATCCATTGGCATTTAACCTCCATCTGTCTCACAGGACTACATGAACCATGGTTCACAAGGTTTATTTACTCAAGTTGGTTTCAGCGATCCCTCACTAGATGAAGCCTTCCAAAGTCACTATAACGTGACAAATACAAACTCACTACAGTCTCAGGTTTCTCTTAATACTTTAGTAGATTTGATAATTTATTGTCAAGTTTTACTGAATGATAGGGTGTGGGAACAATTGGCTTGTTATATCTTCTCACATATATTACCATCAAGTGGCTTCTCACATATATTACCATCAAGTGGGGGGTGGGGGGTGGGGGGTCAATTCGATACCGAATAACGCCAACTGTTGCATTTTAATCCTTCGGTTATATTTTCTCTGTTTTTTCTTTGTTGCTGAATAAAGAATAATAATTTTACATCAGGGCATGATGAATTCTCTCTACTCCCAGCCCTTTGCACATTACAATTCACAGCCTTCGACCCAGCAGGCCCCACCACAGCAGCAGCCTCAGCAGGGCCAGAGCTCTCAAAATCAGAAAATTCACTTTAGTGGTTGAAAGAGTGTAGGATTCGCGGCGGTGATGGGTATGCAACTGTCTGCCTCTTGATTGCAAGCTTGCCATTTTTTGGTCGATATGATTGTTCTATCCTCAACCATTGTTGGTAACATGGGATTTGGCAATCTACTAATACTCAAGAGTGGACAGAAGACGGAAGTGCTGTCTTTCAGCAAAACAAGGGCGGCACATCCAGGGCTGAGAAAGAAAAGATAACCCATATTCCTGCTTGAGGTTTTGTGTTAATGAATGAAACTACAAATATTATTTTGTGCAATGGAGCACTGCATGGCACGGTTTCGGCAAAAGGGTTCCATAATACGTAGGATCGGCTACATTTTGTGTGATATAACCCCTGGCAACTGATTCATTTGAAAAAAAAAAAAAAAAAAATACATAAGCAGCAGTCAAATGGACATTTTTGTACAGCAGCAGCTGGTGAAAGTTGCCTTATCTCATCCCTTCACCTCCCCGTGACATGTACCTGTACTCTGCTTTATCATTTCGTCAAGTAGAGGATGGCTGTAGACTATAGGAAGTATTATATAATTTTCTTTTGCGTAGTGAGTGCTGCTACTACTCCATACAGGAATGAATGTATTTTGATATGGTATATATCTTTTGGGCTTGTTAGGATATATTATTTCAGACTCAGCTCTATTGTGAAGTTGCCATATTTAATGCCATTTTGTTCTTCATTGAGGGATGGTAATATGGAAAGAATTATTAAAGGCAATTGAACAGTTCATCTCATATCAAGCATGCCAACTAACATTCTTTTTTGATTAGGAGTTCCTTTCTTCATCAGGTGGTTGGAGATGGAAAATAGAAAACAAGTCTAAAATGGCGTGGTCGTCGTCTTCCTCACGAGGTTCGTCTAGTTGAACTTGTGACTCTTCGACCTTGAATCCTTCATTCATGAACTCTTTTAGGCACTCGACGGTCCATGGTCGAATCTCAGAAGCTGCCCAGATTTTGCTATTTTTCCCAGAGATGATCTTTAGGACGTGTGCTAGAGGGGCCATGTCCTCTGAGTCATAGAACAAATCCGACATCAAAATCAGGTCAAACTCTCCCAACTCGTTTGCTCGACTCACTGATTCATCTAAGCCCCAGACGAGTTCCCTTACTTGAACTCGGTCCACGAGTCCATTGGCATCTACATTCCTCAACAACCCAGGAAGCAATGGTTCTACATCAGTAAGTACAACACGACGAGCACCAAGTAAAGCTGCCATCAAACCAGGGAGTCCAACCCCAGCTCCGAGCTCAATCACGGTCTTGTCCCGGATGTCGAAGTCGAATAACTTGCACTGAGTTGCCATCCATTCGGCTAGGACGAAGGCTGAGTTCCAGACCCAGGAACCGGTGAGCACTCTACCGGTTGTGGAATCATAGAGGTCGTCAAGCTCATGGATTACAACGTTTCTATCACTGATTTGGAATTCTCTAACGCCCATAGAAATCTCCTTGCCCTTTTCCTTTGCAGCTCCAGTCTTCTTTGTGCCTTCTTTTATAGCAAAAACCATCCCCCTTTTTTCTCTCGTCATTTTCAAAGAATCCTATACCGTTCTATCTCCCTCTCTTTCGAGAGTATCATTTAGGGATAAGATGCCGATTTACTTTGAAAAGGGAATGGAATTCTCACTTGGGAATTATTATAGATGAAGGATTTTTTTTTTTTTTTTTTTTTTTTAATAATCAAGAGCATCTTCTGTCATGTCAATTTGTTACTTTGAAGGTAAGATGACTCTTCTTAGCACTTTTGAGTGATGCTTTTCTAAAGTGATTGCTCAAAACAGTAGATTTAGTAGAGATAAAAGGCAATAACAAAGTTTCTTTGGACCATTGGGATTAGGTTTAGGGTTTAGGGTTTCTTAATTCTCTTGAAATTTATAGTTCCTACGTTGCTGAAGAGGTCAAAAATTTATTGTTGATCATCAAATACTTTTCGAACACTTCGCCCTAAAGGGATTTGAAACTCAATAAGAAAGACACATAAGAATATGCCCAAATGAATTATATATATTTGAGACCGAGTATCATCTCAGTCAAAATCTGAATGTATTGTTTTAACCCCATATTTCTTCCAGAGAATCTATTTATAATTCACTATAGGCTCGAGAAACAAACAGAAGATGGATATGAACAAGATATACAACAAGGAAAATGATTGAATAGCGAAACTCCTGAATATTTGGTAATCTCAAATGTACATCGATTGTAACTCATTATTTTAATGAATCATTTTTTCAGACAAAAGAGATTATGTAAACACTTACTTGAAATCTCACTTATCAGATTCTATTTTGAAATTCCTTCCTAAACGATCCAATAAAGCGATTATGACAAAGAAATAGAGAAATTAGTGAAGTAAAAAGTTGACTACATATAAAATAAAATAGGTGAAAAGAACAAGCAGTATTCAGTTAGGCTAGTGTTTATACAGCAGTATACCCTTCCTTTCTTTCAGAACAGGCCCAAACCTGTGATAGTTAAAAAAGATACACTTAAAAAGACTAAATATGTTTTGTTTATATATATATAAATACAGAATTATTTTCATAATTACAGGGAAAATAATCACGAGAAGGAAGAACCGCAGTTGACGATGATGAGTGTAGACTCGATAAAAGATGAAAGATCAAAGAACATTACATACCATTTTTATGCATACCAATTGAAACTTTCTGCAGCAAATTGGGTAACTTCCTTCTTGCACAAGAATAATGAGCAGAACTTGATTAGGCAGAGCCAGCTCCGACCAAATCGATAGCATTTTTATCCGATGAACACAGCAATGTGCTGACGGGTTCTAGACGATAATCATGCCATGTGTGCTTGTCATAACTTGGGGTGTAGCCTCCATGGACACCCACCTTCAAAAGCCTGCTCCAGGACGTCTTCCATCCGCTTAGCTAGTAATATCTAAATTGTGAAAAAAAACAAGTCAAAAACATTGCAAATCTTGATACTAATCAGATCAGAGAAAGCATCTTTAATCTTCTTACCTCCAAACTAGCAAGCACGGCTGAAGGAACTTCCGCTAAATCTTTCAAATTTCTCTCTGGGAGAATAACCCTCTTTATCCCATAACGATGTGCAGCTAATATCTGCAAAATATCTCGCTTGCATTAACATGAATGCTTCCTATTATATAAACACGGTTAAATTACATGTTTAGACCCTGAACTTTGAGGGATGTCTATTGATTCTTCGATTTTCAAAAGTATATAATAAGATTCTAAACTCTCAATTATGCGTCTAATAGGACGGACCCTACAAAATTTGAACGTTCTAAACATCATAAATTTTGATTTTATGTCTAACGAAGCTCTAAACCTTTAATTCTGTATCCAGTAGATCCAATTTTTCTAAAAATGATCAGATTTCAAAGACTAAATCTATAATAAAATATGAGATATGAGATGATGTACCTTGTCCTTGATGCCACCAACAGGTAGAACAAGACCCCTCAGAGTCATCTCTCCTGTCATTGCAGTATCAGCCCTAACTCTTTTCTTACCAAACAGTGAGACCAAAGCTGTTACAAGAGTCACACCAGCTGAAGGCCCATCCTTAGGCACCGCACCAGCGGGAAAATGTATATGAATATCACGACCCTCCAAAAGATTAGATTCACAAGCTGCTGCCAGTTTCAGATCTGTTGCCCTCGCTCGTACCTGTAATTATGCAATGGCGAAGAGAGGTTTAATTCATTTGAAGCGATAAAATTATATTTATGAAAGCACGCAAGTATCAAGATGAATAAGATACCCACCCAGGTAAGGGCTATCTGAGCTGATTCTTTAATGACGTCACCGAGCTGGCCAGTGAGATGTAATTCTCCCTTTCCGGACATTGCTGTAGCCTCCACGAACTGAACCTCTCCCCCAAAGGCAGTCCAAACCAATCCAACCGATATCCCAGGTGATATAACCCGCTCGGCTGCTTCTCTGTCATCAAATCTAGGAGGCTGCAGTACAGTAACAAGAATTAACAATATGTGGAAGATGCTTTCTGGAAATTCCAACTGAGAAGAAAAAAGAATTAGAAAAGCTTTCTATTTTGGCAGCTCAATTATATGCCAACAAACCGATAAAGATATGCTAACCCACGTTAGGACATAGGTCACATAGTTGCTCAAAGATCAAGAACATAGGTCACATAGTCGCTCAAAGATCAAGAACTATTCATTTAGCTCGACAGCAATAGATTTTGAATTGAATATCTAACTTAGGGCAGAAAGATTCATTAACCAATTGATAATAACCTAACATGTATACTAGTGAAGCAGAAAAGAACTGGACACAGCACAATTAGTTCATTCATCACGGACTTTACAAACACCAGTACATTAGCAAGAAGGGCACAGGAACTATTACCCCAAGCACTTTTTCAAGCATAGCCTCATCAACAACCAATGGAGAGGCTATCCTCAATGAGTTTGGCATCTCATGATCCGCTCCGATTGGGATGACCTCCATATCTACTTCAGCTCCATCAGAAAGTCTGTTTTCCAACAGAGGAGAAGAAACCTGATGCACATCTTTATTCAACGGGGCAGTTTGATCTCTTTCCACGACTCTAACAGCAGCAGCACGAGCCAACGCAGCCAAATTTCTCTCAAGGTTTCGTACACCAGCCTCTCTAGTGTATCTTTGAATAACAAGTTTAACCATAGCCTATCACAAATAACAGGTACGTATAAATTGTTTTCATATATAATAAGAGTAACTAAATTATATAACAGCTATGAAACAACACGACCTTGATGATGCATCTCCATAGATAAAAAGAAACCCACTTTTGAGATGAAGACAGAGACAGTTACACATTAAATGCTGTAGGATCACGTGAAACAAACAAGCCTAGGAGAATTATTATTATTTAATATTTATTGATTTTAAAGGAAAACAGATATTTTCATTGATGAAGAAAATAGTGCAGGAGCGAATCCAAACAGCCCGGCTGAAGAGAGAATACCAAAAAATAGGAAAATAAAAAACAGAAATTACCCAAATAAAATAAGAGCAGATAAGACATAAAGCTACAGAAATGCCCCCCAATTGTTACAAATATCTTGGAAATCTCCAAATGATCCGAGAATGGTAAAAATGTGCATGAATTTCTCATAATCATACGGCATCACATGCAGACCTAGCCTTGAGATGAAGTTCAGAAATCCTGTAAAGCAGTAAAATTGGAACTGGAAATACACCCAGAAACAGGAATTATGAGACAGCAAAGACAACGGTTCTGTAGAATGCTTTTAGTTGCAGTAAATCGGTGCTTAGAGAATTCATACTATTGCAACAGGCCCCTGATCATAATTATGAACTTGTGCAAGAAGAAGGAAAAGGTAAATATTGGAATAATGGGCAAGGTAATTACACAAGGCTATTATGTGGGAGGGCAGAAACTCGATTCAGGATGTATGTAGGAACCACTGTAAGGAGAATTACAGTACAAGGTAGGAATAACAAGAAAAGAGCGAGCAGAAGATGATCAATAGACTCTTGAAACTTCTTCAGGTTTGTAATGATAAAACAATTAATTGTAATCATCATTATATGAAGAGTTAACTACCTCTGGAATTTGAAGAAATTCAGCGCTTAGTCCATGTTGTTCTAAAACTCGAGGAATCAAATGGTGCATTGCAATCTTAAGTTTTTCCTCTGGTGTGTATCCAGGCAGCTCAATGACTTCCATCCTATCTAAAAGAGGAGGAGGTATGGGCTGCATTCTGTTAGCAGTGGCCACAAATACGACATTTGAAAGGTCAAATGGGACATTCAAATAACTATTGATCATTAGTTAAGGAATCACTCCGAGTACCTTAAGGATAAAAAAGCAGTTTTAGAATTTCAACAACACTAAGCATTAAATAGGGAGAAAATTTCGAGGCAACGCATGTATGGAAATAGTACACACCAATTACGCTTATCCAGCAAAAACCCTACCACAAAACAGCAAAAAGAAAAAAAGCTAAATCTACAGAGGCATCATTACCGCAGCCCACTCGACCTTTCCAACCTCATCCTCAATAAGTATCATATTTCTTTCCAACCATGAAACCTAGACATTCAAACATTATTAGGTTCCTTAAGCACCTTCTATTTCTTTCTATTCATTTACAAAAACAAATTGCACAAACAGAAGAGCAAAACTTAATGCCTCGAGAGAGACATTTCCAAGGACACTAATGTTTTGATCTATTTAAAACCTTTTAAATAATCTTCCTTACCTTCATTCTTGCCTTCATAAAAACATAGAGAATCTAAACACCATAGCACGCTCTATTACTAAAATGAGTGCAGTGTACAAATAAATTAATAAAAAACACTAGATTAGGATACTGATCATTGAACTTTTTGTTCTGTTCAGGGTCAAGAACCTCCAGTAGAGCGGAAGCTGGATCGCCTCGCACATCAGAACCTGTCTTGTCAATCTCATCTAATAGCATGACTGGGTTGCAAACAGCTACTCTCTGTAAAATGTTAAAGAAGAAATTTCAAGGGTAGATAAAGCATCAAACCTAGTCACCCATCATCTGGCATTTAGATGAGAGCAATAACAAGTTTTCCTATTCTTTCCTAACCACAACTCTCAAGGATTCTTACT